GGCCTGGCACCTGGCTTTAGGGGTCCTGTCAATGCCATAAAATCACTGTTTTCCCATTAGAAATATATTCTGAAATAAAGAGACAACAAAAGCAAGTCTGGGGGCTCCAAACTCCTCTCCCCTTCAGATGTCACCTGAAATGCTTTCCTGCTGTGAGATCACTCTTMAATATTTAAGCACTGCAAAACTGCTTAGGACATGGAAAGTGTTTTGCTGCAATTCTCCCATCTGGAAACACACATGTACAGCCAGAAGAGCATCCCACCAAACTCTTCTGTCTCTCTTCATTTCACTCTAAGCTCTGCTGGTTTTAAATATGAATCATCTTCATTTCAGAGCTGAAGAACAGAATTCAGTTTACTGTGGAGAACAGATACTTGGGATAATTCATCCCAACTTAGGGGTTAGCACAAAACTGAGAGTGATTCCAGCTCTGGTTTAGGTTCTGCATGTTTTGGTCACCTTCAACTTCAGTTATTCATTACAATGTCACTTGTTTTGCCATGATGCCACCACACTGCAGTCTCAACATCTGATAAAACAACACCTAAGTACAGCAAATTTCAGGGTGGTGAAAGTTATTTTATCATCAGGTAGGATTAAAAGGTCACCATCTAAAAGCAAACAGTAACTGCTTGAAAACGTTACTGGTTTTGGTTCTTTCACATACAGTTGAGGGCAGTGCCAAGCTCATCCAAGAGGTTTTACTCCCTAGGGAGGCTCYAACAGGTATTTCATGTAAAACAGGCAGAGCTACTGCTGGAGATCCCCATTCTCCAGGACCAGTTTTTCCAAAATGCCTTTCTATATTGAGACTCCCAGGCAGGCTGTACACTGATATTATGACCATAATTACCTTTTCTGCCTCGGGCAGCTCTGTGGGGTTGCTCTGCATCCTCCTCCACATCTTCAGCTGCTGCCAGCACCACCCAACACAGCCCTGCTGTCAATACYCATTAGGCACTGAAATGTAAAAGCTGTCTCAGCTCGTGGCTTTAATAGCTTTCCTCACTGCATTTATCCTTTATCTTATCCAATTGGTAGATTTATTATTACTACTAATTATCCATTGTGTTGGGTTGATTTGTTTGCTGGATGGAGGGAGCACTGATTACAACCAACATCCCTTCAGGTGCTATGAGCTGCACTGCAAAAATCTGTAAAGAAAAAAAAATCTGTCTGAAGGGAAGGAAAAAATACTATTGTGTAACAGCTCTTTTCTCCAATCAGAATGTAAGAACTTCATCCCCTCTCTCTTTACTTATCCTGCAGTAAATCAGGTTATCTGGGGGTTCAGCACCTTGCAGAGTTGGGGCTGATCTGCTGCCAGCAATGACCCCAAGCACTCAGTACTCCCACACCTTTGGCCTTGGCCCTGGGCTGTTCTGAGCTCTGCCAGATCYTCCATGCCATGGCATGGCCTGAAGAGCAGCTGGCAGCATCCTCTGGTGCTGTGGTACCTGGGAAAGCACTCAGTGACAGAACAAACCCAGCAATGCACACAGGGAACCTTTCCAGAGCTGCCTGATGCCTTCAGCCCTCCCTCTGCAGTGCCCCCTCCTCCTCCTCACCTTCAGCTACCCCAGCAATTATGTGTAACCTTCTCAAAGTCCACCCCACAAGAACACCTCATTTTCACTGTGGTTATGATTCTCTCCCCGTTCTGTAGCCTGCTGGGTGCGAGGACAGTTCATAAAAGCACTCAAGAACAGGGTCATGCCCTAAAGATTCTGCTTTCCAATCGTCAGACAATGCACCCAAAATGATGATTCAGATGAGAAAAGCATGGAACAGCACTTGGAGAGGTGACAGTCAATGCTGGCAGCTCTGCCAAACCCAGTGGTAACAATTTGTAACAGCTCTGCCAAGGACCCAACACYTCAGTGATCTTCATTTCAAAGATTGCTGGGGTTTTTTTTTTATTTTCTTTCCTGTACTGATGCTACTTTCCTTCTGTTCATATTTTACCAACTGCTAGAGGTAACAGTCGTTTTCCTCCCTGTACAATCAGCAGCAAGTGCAATTCATCTCTCTTTTGGGAGCCCAGAAAACCAGCAGTAGAAAAGCAGAGCAGTATTTTCCTTCCCCTTCTCTATTCCTCCAGCTCTTTTATGGAGATTTTCCCATTCACATTATTGCTGATAATGTAAGGCAAGCCTGAAACCCCTTCCATGGGAGGAAATCCAAATAAATTCAGTAACAGGGTGATGYTGACCAAGTGTTTGCATATCTTAAATGCCTGAAGAGTTACCAGAGGTGGCACAGCAGGACAGGAACAGGACCTGCAGCCTCTCAGGATGGTCTGAACTGCTCCCACAAGAGTCCTGTGCGCCCTGGGTGTGAGAAAGGAAGAGCTGTGTTTATCCACAGCRTTAATGCCCCATCACTCCCTGCCACGCCAGTCATTCTGGACTGAKAAATTCGTAGATACAGCACCAGATTCTGAATTAAGACACAGTTTAAGAGCACGGTTTCAACTGCCCTGATTTGTGGCTATGAGGTCATTCAGACCCCTCTGCTCCCCTTTTGCCAGRGAGGATTTGTAGCTATTATTTCCCACCCCCCAAGCAATGATCACATGCTGTTTGCTTCAGCACTGCACGCTGCAATACCTCAATGAATAATATACAAGGAGCAGAAAATAAACAAGCCCACTGTGCCCGGGGATARTGTGTGGTGTGTTTTTTCTTTAGGATGATTAAATGTGAGTGCATGTCATAGGATGTAGGGATTGCTGTGCTGGGAACCCAAGAGGATGAGGGCACAGAGCTCTCTCGGAGCAGGCAAATGGCCATGGAGAAGGTTAAGGGGGCCCCCAGGCAGCCCCAGCATATGCACTGCTGCTCTCTGGGCTKTGCTTCTGTCACACACACACTCCATGGATCCCTGCTCGCACTCCACACCCTCTCACACCTCGCAAGGGGCACTGGAGACAGCAGATTTCCACCCCAGACCCAGGATGCTTCACTTGGCTTTGCCCTCTGCCACCAAAACAACCTYTGCAGCCAACAGAACGAGCCCAGAGCTCATGGGATGGTCCCATACAGTGGGATCAACCATCCCTCCCCTCCTGCAGGCTCAGGAAAGCAGTTAAACCATTTCCTTTCTTTGACACAGACACCTTTAGCAAAGCTTCCATCTGATGCCSTAGCAGAGCCACAGCTTTGGGAGATCCACGAGCCCACCAGGCCTGTGAGACACRTTTCAAAATCAACATTGCTTTGCAACCTCTCCCATTCATTTTCTTGCCTTGGCCATGGAGAGGAGGAAGCCCACTGAACAGGGCTGATTTCCAGGAATTCAGTCAACCCTGTGCTACATCACAAGAGAACAACCACCTGCACATCCCCATGGGATGTAAGAGAATGACACTTAAAAAATATCTTCATTTCTCAGCCTCTTGTGTTCTTGCATCTGGTTCAAAATGCAAATCTTCTTTCCACCAAATTAAATAATTTTTCCACCAAAAAAGGTTTTTCAGCAAGAGAATGTGGCCTGAACTCTGCATTTGTGCTGACACAGAACCAACAATGCACCAACATGTGTCAGACTGTGCATTTCAGAACAGTCACCTGTTCCCAACACTAAAGCCAATCCTCTTTGTCCACAAAAGCAACACAGGCAACTCCCAACTTTGTCCACACAGGCAACTCCCAACATTCCACATTATAAGGCCTCCTGCACCTCTCAAATGCATTTCTGAGCTAAGAAATACATCCCCAGWTTTCAACAAGCTTGTTTATCTCCAACTCACTTTTCAGGAAAATAAAGACAGAGTGATCCCCACTCCCATTCACCCAAAAAACACTGCCTTGAATTTCTGCTCTCACCACAGCTCTGTTTGTTATGTGCAAAAGTATTCTGTTTCTACCACTCTGTGTAAAGGGATTTTCAACAGAAGTAACAACATCACAAAATACTTCTACCACRGAGGTTTCACTCAGTAAACAGGTGTCTGGGAGATTATCTTGCCAATTTAACCAAAGCTGCAAACGGTTCTGGGATGACTAAAACCCCCCTTTTTTCAAATAAAAGCCTTTTATCTGCCAAGCGACACTTCCTGCTCTAAAGGCTATTCTCCTCGGTAGTTGTCAACTATGTATTAATCTAATTCATATAAGCCTTAGAAATAAATACTTTCATGTGCAGAATCTTTTGGGAAACTGATTCCCCGAGGCTTTAGAGAGCAATTGTTGCTTATCACCGTGGAAATTTCCACTGAATTTAAAGCCTGGTAACAAGTTAAAAAAAGATACATCAAATTTTTCAGTGATTAACAACTTTCCCAGTCTTTGTCATCCTCAAAGGATTTTCATCTGATCGGTAGGGAAACTGCTAAAAATGAAAATGAAAGGAAAGTGATGTGACCCAGTAAGGCAGTTCCTGTGTTCCCACTCCTGTCCAAAATAATGGCACTCACTTCTAACAGCCCCTTACAGTCAGCAGCAATATCAAACACGTTGGGCTTTATTTTAAAGGAKAGATGTGTTGGCAAAGACAAACACTGCTTAACTGCAAGCGGATAGTTAAACCCTCCCTACAGAGCTCTCCTAACAAAACCACTCYGTGTGTGGGAGAGGCAAGCTCTGCCAGAGCACTTACAGAAAAGCAGGTAATTGAAGTTTTTCTACATTTAAACTCCATGCCTGTGCAATAAAAACCTGATTTTAAAAGCCCTGTAAAGCAGAGAACTTTTCTGATGTCTGACTGTCTGTCACGGCTCAGAAAGAGCCCCGCTCAAGCGGCAGTTTTGTACCTTGTTGCACACTGCGGGCCTGTGATAAATGGCACGGCAGACACGTTAAAAGCCTCCCGGTGACGGCGGCTTTCAATCCTCTTCACRGCATGCAAAGAGGAAAATAAGGGATTTCAGGGACTAGGAGCAACCTTCAGTGGGGATGAACTTCAAACCAGTTAAGATTCATTCCACATCCCCAACACCTTTGTATACCACGTCAGAAACACGATACCATGTCAGAAACACGCRCAGCGTTCCATACCTGAGGAGGAACTGATCCACCGTGGAATTGTTGGCGATTGTCACGTAAACATTCACCACGTCCCCCTGTTTGACCGGCTTGGAGGGCAGCCACACCACGATGTTGCTGTCCAGCCTCAGCTCCGTCAGCTGGGACGCCTCCTGGCCTCGGTAGAGGCTGACAGAGCCAATCCTCTGCAGGTGGGACATGGTGTCATCCCCGCCGTCCTTGCCCGGCCGGATGGCGTTACCCTTGCGGATATCCTCAGCCGTGCACTCTCCCTTCTCCTCTCCAGGCTGAACGGTGTAGTAAAGCTCCACAGGGCTCCCTTCCAGCGGCTCCACCGGTTTCTTACGACCTGTCAGCACAGAGGGGGGGTTGAACCAGCTGGGCAGCAGCTCCAGCTCGGCCACGCACAGCCCCAGGTCGCCCTTGAGGCGGCAGCTGCCGCGCACCTCGCGCGTCTCGCGGAAGGCGAACACGCGCAGGCAGGGCAGCCGCTCCGAGGGGCTGAAATCGTCCCAGTCCCTGCCCACGATGTAGAACAGCACCTGCACCTTGGGCTTGCTCAGGTAGATCTTGGTGCTCAGGATGTAAGCCTTCAGCTTCCAGTTRWAGGWGAACTTGTTGGCRGATCCGAAAAAGTTGGAGGTTAACATGAGGTCCTGGGGCACAGCCTGCTCGACRGAAAAGGGGCCGTAGCTGGCGTTCAACACGGGCGGYCTCTTGGCTTTGTACGGGAAGAACGATTCCACCCTGGATTGCAAACTGGAATTTCTCATGAAGTCCTGGTTGGCTTCTTTGAGGAAGAACGACGTTTCAGCATTGAAGATGCGATAGCTCACAGGGAGGTACGTTGGTAACGAAGAAAATCGCTGATTATTGTCCGACACCCCTCGACATTCGGTCACTGTGGAAACAAAAGGTGACGGAGTTATATCAAGGCTGCTCACAGATTCCAAGGGACAKTTAGCACAACTTCAGTGGAGGCACTTGGTGAGTTAGGGACAAGCATTATTCCATGCAAAAAAAATATTTACAGGGTAACTGCATGTTTAGATGTAGATAGTTCTTTTCTGCATTACATTTGCAAAAGAAAATAAAATGCAACAGGTTAGAAGAGCCCAGTGACCCCCAGCCCTGCAGGAGCACTGGCCAGCAGATCAAAAGTTTATGCACTATGGACAAAGAAACTGCYTTCCTAAGGACTCTCAAATAACACCCCACTTCACTCTGTCAAGAAACCTTGCTCTTGTGTTAGTGCTKCTGGCACTACAGTCCATATCTCTGGGGTATAATATTGACAGTATCTCAATTTCCTCAGTTCTTTAAATGCAGRTGGGCATCACAATCTAGAAATATTTCAACAACCACTAATATGTAAGATGCACACAGACAGAATCAGCACATAGTGGCTAATTTCAAGTTTCAGCTGAACATCAGATCCCTTTGACCTAAACATTGTTTTCCTGTCAAGATTAACAACACTTACTGTTGAAAGGTAAAATTTATTGCCTGAACTAGGGTAGATAACAATTAAATTACATTATGATTGTGACATATAACTTACAAGCCCTCTTCTTGACTCACACTGAAGGGATCAGCTGTAGGTACAGAAAATAAATGAATGATGATGTACTGTCTCGAGTATTTAAAAAGCAGAGCTTGCCCTCAGTTCCAGTGCTCTGAGGGAATCCCATCAGAAACAGGATTCAAGATTCTGTGTAGGTTCAGCTCTTTAAAGAAGAAGGGYAACCACAAGGGCAGCACAGAATGCACGGATTCATCTGAAACTCAGGAACACCAGGATCCCAAAACACCCTCCAGAGACACTGTCTCACCACCTTCCTCACAAAGGGCTGCAGCCCAGAGGATTTCTGCAAATCACATTTGCTGCCCTGGCATGCCTAGCTGCTAACGTGCTAATTATGCAGTCAAATTTAATTAAATGTTTTCAAGGAATGAATAAACAATCGATACCTGTCATGGCACCAAATGGCTGCTGCTGGCAGAGAACCCCACTGAGGTCCTGTGCAATGCCACAGTGCCAGCACTGCTTGGGGCAGGGACAGGGGAGGGCTCTGGAAGGCAGGGGTGAGGTAATTAAGAAAAAAAAAAGGAAGGAGACAAATGTTGAGGAGGAGAAAATCAGAGCTCTCAAAGGACAGCAGCCATAAATTTGAAATAAGGAATTAAGATGTGTTCACTCATGTTTAATTCATGCACCAGCACTGGATGGTAGGAATAGTTCTCAAATGAACAGACTGCCATGACTGGACAGAATTTTTTACAAAACCAAAACAAAAAAAAAGAGTAAAAATAGGAAAAGAAATAGTGAATTACCAGCACAACACCCTCGCTATCAAGAAGAATTACATTTAAAACACAAAATACGAGTTCAACCCACTGTTACAGCCCTGCAAGTCTCCAATCCTTGGCACACATTTTAATTCTGCTGAAAGAGATGCTACAGATGCCACCTCCTGAGCTGATTGATTTCCCCTTACCTGAATTTGGCAGGCTTCCATCCCAAAGTGCTCTAACACTTTTGTAAGGAACACAAGGAAGATCCACTTTGGACCATGGATGTTTCAAGGAAAGGAAACCTTTGTGTTTCTCTCAGAATTTGCATTTTTGATGCAGAAGTTTCCTCTCTAAATCCTTCACCCACCCTGGAGGAGCCTGCTGGGATCTGGTCACCGCCCCACAGCCCTTTGTAGGAACAACCACTGACATTGTACATTACAGACAACAATTCATTTTCAATAAAAACACCTGGTTTGCAAGACAAGAAGTCCCCTTCTTAGTGGCCAATTTGGCTACTGAATTTGACTTGGTGACTCATTAGAATTTCTGTCTCAGTGCCCTGCTGCTCAGGTTAAGGGAAGCACATAAACACTGTGGGAAGGAAAAATATTGGATTTCAAACAACAGGGACAGTTTGCTGAAGTGTTTCCATGACCAGAGACACTTCAGACACGGCCCCACCGCTCCTGAGGGAATCTCTGCCTTCAACAGAGCCACAAAACACAGAAATAAACTCAGCAGGCTGCAGAGACAAGTGAGGTCCTGTGATTTCAAGGGGTTGYTGGTCAGGATCTAAGCTTGAGACTTAGCAGCTGTTTTTGTGCAATTCCCAGGACTTTAGCTGGAGCACATTATCCTCAGACAGACAGTGGGCTCATTTTTGCAGGCACTTCATTTATCCTGGGTTAATCACATGCATGAGGTATGCAGGACTTGGCCCAATATTAAGAAAAACAGTCATGCAACTCCTGCCTTAACAAGCTGAATACAAACAGCAAAACCCATGTGGCCAGACTGACAGCAGAAAAAAAAAACCCTTTACTTTTTTTTTTTATTGTAGTCTAAAGATTTCCACCCACTTTCATACCATACATAATGGATTCCTATATTTCTATGGTGAAGGCTGTACTTTAGACAATTTATTTAAGCACTTCGAGCCTTTTACTGATAAAACTGATAGTTAAAATTGTCCATTTTATTTTTAGAATCCCAACAACATGCATCAGCAACTGCACACCATCACTTAAGGGATTTGTTCTATTCTCTTCATCTCTACCCAATAACCTTCATGTCCTGGTGYAATTAATTACCAGCACTTCCAGAGAACATTATTGTATGCTTGATCAGCTCCAAGTTCTTTAATTTATCAGAGAATCTATTCAAACAAAAATGCCAAGGTTTTTCCTGAGTTTCCTACCACAAGCTATTATTTCAAATAATCACTAAGTGYTGTTTACTTTATCTACCTGAAAAACCAATTTTTAAAAAAGCAGCTCTGCCTATCAGTGCTTTGAGGTGCTTTGGAAGAGATTTCTCCATTTTCAACTTGTTTTGCCCAAATGTGCACCTCGTTTTAATGAAGTGCTGCAGCTCTGTGACAGTTTGAGCTGAGGGCAGCACTCAGGGCTGTCTGACAAGCAAAGTGAGTGCTTCACCCCTTTCCATCACCCAACAGGAGCCACAGCTCGCCCAGAGATGAAACCCTGCGTGGAAGAGGTTAAGAACCATCAAACAAAGCCAGTATTAGCCAAGAACAAAAGTGAAGGCTTACAAGTAATTACTTCTTCTTTGTAACAGCCTGGTGACTTTTTAATCCTCCTTCTGGCATCATATGCTCCTGCAGCACTTCATCTGAACCCGAGCAGGCATCTGTTAAGCACATCACTGGCTCCAGTGTGACAGAGCAGCTCAAATTCCTCCARCCCAGTGAGTTCAGTGGATGTGAAACACTGAGTTCTCATCTGTATTATTATTATTTCTTGGATTCCAGCGTAAAGAGGAATTTTCTTTGGGGGTATTTCACATGGAGCTGGAGCCCTGGGTGCTGGATTCATTGAACAGTCATAAAAGCTTAATGTCTTTGAGTTGCTCTTTTATGAGGTTGGTTTGAAGTGCCTTTCTTTTGGACTGGGAATGAAGGGTTGAGATTGTGGGTGGGAGATTACTGGCCAGTGGCCACGGATCTGCAGTGGCTGATGTTTGATGAGCCACTGAGCCTCCAAGGCAGCCATCTGCCTGTCCCCTCGGCCAGGAGCTCCTGAGCCAGAGCCAGAGAGGATCAGCAGAGCTCAGGAAACCTTCTCCCATTGTTCCTCCTTTCTCTGCACCTTGTCWGGCCCTCAAAGGCACATTCACAATTACCCCTTCCATGAAAACAAACCCAAAGAAAAGTGCTGAACAGATTTCTGTGCTTCTTGTTCTCCTGTTAACCAGTACACAGTTCAGCTGAAGCTCCCACCAAGAATTCTGTCATGCTGAAGGCAGGATCTTCTCCTTCCTTCTTCCGACAGCTTTACCCACTGCCTTTCCTCCACTCCTAAATGTAGCTGTCATTGACTGCTCTACCATACTCATTTTAATTTTTGYTCCAATTCCATGCCAGCAGTTTTTGGAAAAAAAACCCACCTAATGTTATTTACACCACCACCACCACCTAAAATGCTGCAAATGCTGTAMAGATGATCCCTGTTCCTTCCACCCATTCCCACCTGTCCCTACACCCAGGTGAGCACCCTACACAAACCACACCTTCACAAAATCCTCACATCCTTGAATTCTCTTCTGACCCCCTCTTCCACTACAAACCTGTCTTGCTCTTGCAGAGCAAATTACATATTCCAGCTCAGGAAATACAGAAGAGGGAAAGAATAAGAGTAGGAAAGATTAATTTCAATCAGCACAGATGTTTCCTTCACCGCAAAATGTCAACAGCTATGTTTTCTGGTTCATCTTCCCTTAATTTTCTGTGCCAGCACCACATTCAGTCACATTTAGTGACTTCACAGTGGACAAAATCTTTGTAGCAATATTTTGGTTAGAACTAGAGCTCAGCAAATACATTCATTCAGACCTCAGRATGACCTTAGCTGTACTCTCATCCCCTCCAAGTTCCCTTTTCTTCACATCTAGAAAAAGGAAATTTTGCTGATGGAAAGGTTGAGTGGAATCTTAAACCAAACAAGCTCCAATTCAGGATATGGAAGAGATTTTTGACTGTGAGGTTGATTAAATATTGGGAGGGAGCAATGGCTTGTTGGTGTCTTCACATCCACACTGGATTTTTCCTCAGCACAACTTACAGGGATAACTGGAGCCTCATACTCCCAAAACTACAATTTGGCTTCACAACTGCAATTCTGTGACCCTTCCAAAGAACTGGCTGGATGGAAGGGTAACTGCAGAAACCACATTTTCTGTTTGAGCCCATCAGATCTGYTTCCTCATCTTCTGAGGGAACAGAGAGACCCCTGGACTAATTGCACACAGACAATGTCAAGTGTCAAATGCTTCTGAAGACCAATTTGTGAAGCTAAAAATAAAYTCTGCAAGCAAAGAAATCCATACAGCAAACATTTGAGGGAAATTGCAGCCAGTTCTCAAATA